GTTAACAAATTTAAACATTGAAAAAATATTAAGAGACATTTTGGCTGTTCAAGATCAATTAAATGTGCTAAATCAGAACATGCTGCTTTTTTTCTTATGTCCACAAATAATGTGTTCTTGTTTGTGATGTAGGCTACACGTGATTAAAACGTTTTATTGACGGTCAGGTCTGACTGGACCAATTTTGGACCTTTTTAGAACCTTTGTCAAGATGTGTAAACCTCAAGACTTGATTGCCTTTCACAATGTTACACAATATGTGTGTGATTATTTTAAATGCAGGCTTACATACACTTAAATTATGCAGCAACACATTTAAACACACAAATGACGACGCATTTAGACGTCCAGGGATGCGCTGAAGAGACGTGGAATTCACGGCCAGAAGAGACGTTGAGTTCACGGCCAGATGACGTCAAAGACGTCGGTTCAACTTCCATTTTGGAACTATTTTTCAACCATGACGAGACGTGTCGGACGGACGTCTTTTCAACGGTCGTTACACGTCCAAATGTTTGCTGGGTATCTTGAGGCCACAAGATATATCTTGAGGCCACGAGTTAACTATATTGAGGCCACGAGATAGTATCTTGAGGCCACGAGTTAACAATCTTGAGGCCACAAATTAACTATATTGAGGCCACGAGATAGTATCTTGAAGCCACGAGTTAACTATCTTGAGGCCACGAGCAGGGCCGTTTGAAGGAATTTGGGGGCCCCAAGCAAAATGGACATGGAGGCCCCCCAAGGACCCCATAAACACAATCATGCAAAGAAAAAAAAGCAGTAAACCACCCCTTTAATTGTATTAACTACCCTAATAACGTTAGAAAATCATGAAAATAAAAAAAATGACATGACAACTTATCGTTATAAAATCATTATTTATTTTATTAAAAGTTAAGAATTCAGGTTTGTTTATCAGTACCATAGCAACACTAACTTTCCCTGGAATTGTCAGATAGGAACCGTCCCAACGTTAGCGGTTGGTTATGACAGATCCAGAGTGACTCTGGGCAGATCCAATAGTTTTAAACTTCATCAGAGTACCCACCTACAAGGAAGTTAACGCTTGTCAATGGAGCGGTGCCAGACTCTATGTACAAATGTACGAGAGTCTGGTGGGACCAGGCTACGTCGCTAGTAGGCTACATAACAAATTACTGCGCGCTTATTTGCAATGAAGCAATAGCGAAGTTTAAAAAGCATTTGGTTAACAGAAAAGACAATGTTATTTTCCAACATCCTAATTTTTCTTGATGTTCTTTGTAATGTATTGATCTGTCACCTAAAACACATTTTTGGTGATGAGGATGAAAGAGGAAGGGAGCAGGAGATGGCTGGATGACAGGATTTTGTTTGAATAAGAATGTATGAAATCCAAACTGTATTTTTATATATATATACTGTATATATATATATATATATATAGCCTAGCTGTGACATAGTTAATCTGGTTTATTTCTTCATTTTGGCTAGTAGAATTTCTGAATGGCCGGTAACTTAAAAATGTCGTAGCCAAATTGGCTGGTAAATGAAAAAGTTAATTTCAAACCCTGATGATGATGTATATTACGATGTTATGATGAACTATATGCCTTTCTCCACTGACGTTCTAGGTTGTTCAAAGGATGTTGAACAACCTTGTTGTTTCTAAGGATGGCGAATGGGAACATGGTTTTGTGTAACATTAGCAACACATTATTAGCTGTTTGATAACGTAGTCAAGCAAAACGCTAATCATATTAATTACCGTTATGTGTCCGACGTTGTTGAGAGCGATACACAAAACGCATTACCATTCTGATTCATCGACTTGTAGACGACGCTGTACGACCGAGTAAATCTCTGAGCTGGTGCGAGTGAGTGGAGGCGGGGCTTATTGCATATTCATGGATCCATGGCATGTATACTAAATGAAGCAAGGGTGTAGTTACATTCAAGCTATTTATGGCATGAATAAAAAAAATTCACAGGAAAAAACTTTTAAATATGTCATTTTGATGATCAAAGATGAGTTTTAAGGGATAGAATTATTTACTACAGGGGGACTTTAATCAAAGAACAAACATAGAAAATTAGTCACTGCTCTTGATTAAATAACTTTTGTATTTAACTTTAATTATAAATGTTTAATTTATAATTTATGCAGGTCAGACTGTTTGATAACTTTATTCAATTTCAGTATTTTTCTACCTGTTGGAAGGGCACAGGTAAATGTGACATTTAGTGAAGTTCACAACGTAATATCGGGAGGAGTGAACCCATCTAATCGCAATTAACAGCCGGAGCATAAGCAGCCACTCACCTTGCTCTGGCATCAGCTGTTTTAGCATCCCTCCATGCGCCATCAATATAATTTAGGCATCTTGCTACCATACTCATCATCCAAGCATTAGTAGTCCCACTGGGGGGTATATCTAAGCCCGAGTTGAAGCTGCTTCCTCGAGCCCCTCCACTTGCGGACAGCAAGCCAAATACGCTTAAAGGTACAATATGTAGGATTTTTGCAGTAAAGAATCCAAAAACCACTAGGCCAATGTTATTTATTTTGTTTAGTTGATTACTTACAATATCCCAAATGTGTCCAACTATTTGTAAATTGTGAGAAAATTGCGATTTTAACCAATGAAACGGGGCGTGTGAGCAGGGGTGAGGAGTCGCCAGTCAATGGCGACATATCCGCATTACCCTTGGTTTCCGCATAGTAACCATGGCGACAGACGTGGACAACTGGGTTATGCCTAGCAGGACGCTCACGCTGTTGTTTTGTTTAAACATTATGGACCATGGTAAGCAGACTTTGAGACAAAAAGAGGACTAAAACGAAGATCAACATCTTTCGAGATGCCGAGAGCTTTACGTCGACTAACTTCGACTTGACAGAGACGTGAGTGTTGCATGTACTTTATTAGACAGGTGAGCAAATGTACATAAAACTGTTATTGTAATGTTGATCTAGCTTACTGCTAGTCTCATATAGCCAAAAAACAACCTAACTAACAACATTCAACACACTCAAATGCCGTTTAGTGTGATAGTGTAACTGTTAGAGCAAGTGAAACAGCGCTGCATTATCTCATGTTTAATTTGTCTAATAAACTGACCTGTGTGAGTATTAATTCAGCACTTGCGTGTAGTTCGGTAGAATGAAATGTCCTAATTCTTTTATATCCGCAGGACTCGCGTTGCGTGTGGCACTGGTATAACGTTACGTCTCTCATTAGCAATCGCGCCCTGCTTCATACCACAGTCATGTTAAAAACATTTATTTATTCTCTCATCCATAAAATATCCATTAGCTTGACGACAAGATCCATAATTACGCTTAATGCTTTGCGTCATCAATATACACCTTTGTTATTGTAAGAGGTTAGCGACCCCTGGTGGCGAAAAATCCTACATATTGTACCTTTAACCTTATTAGCTTAAAAATTATATGGGCAAAGGAACTCGTGAATTATGGGTTTATGTGAGGATTGTTTTATGTTCACTTAAATTTAAAGTTGTTAAATTTTTTGAAGCCAAATAAATGTTAAAAAATTTGATAAATTTAGACATACACTCACCTAAAGGATTATTAGGGACACCATACTAATACTGTGTTTGACCCCCTTTCGCCTTCAGAACTGCCTTAATTCTACGTGGTATTGATTCAACAAGGTGCTGAAAGCATTCTTTAGAAATGTTGGCCCATATTGATAGGATAGCATCTTGCAGTTGATGGAGATTTGTGGGATGCACATCCAGGGCATGAAGCTCCCGTTCCACCACATCCCAAAGATGCTCTATTGGGTTGAGATCTGGTGACTGTGGGGGCCATTTTAGTACAGTGAACTCATTGTCATGTTCAAGAAACCAATTTGAAATGATTCGAGCTTTGTGACATGGTGCATTATCCTGCTGGAAGTATCCACCAGAGGATGGGTATATGGTGGCCATAAAGGGAGGAACATGGTCAGAAACAATGCTCAGGTAGGCCGTGGCATTTAAACGATGCCCAATTGGCACTAAGGGGCCTAAAGTGTGCCAAGAAAAACATCCCCCACACCATTACACCATTACACCACCACCAGCCTGCACAGTGGTAACAAGGCATGTTGGATCCATGTTCTCTTTCTGTTTACGCCAAATTCTGACTCCACCATCTGAATGTCTCAACAGAAATCGAGACTCATCAGACCAGGCAACATTTTTCCAGTCTTCAACTGTCCAATTTTGGTGAGCTCTTGCAAATTGTAGCCTCTTTTTCCTATTTGTAGTGGAGATGAGTGGTACCCGGTGGGGTCTTCTGCTGTTGTAGCCCATCCGCCTCAAGGTTGTGCGTGTTGTGGCTTCACAAATGCTTTGCTGCATACCTCGGTTGTAACGAGTGGTTATTTCAGTCAAAGTTGCTCTTCTCTCAGCTTGAATCAGTCGGCCCATTCTCCTCTGACCTCTAGCATCAGCAAGGCATTTTCGCCCACAGGACTGCTGCATATGGATGTTTTTCCCTTTTCACACCATTCTTTGTAAACCCTAGAAATGGTTGTGCGTGAAAATCCCAGTAACTGAGCAGATTGTGAAATACTCAGACCGGCCCGTCTGGCACCAACAACCATGCCACGCTCAAAATTGCTTATCACCTTTCTTTCCCATTCTGACATTCAGTTTGAAGTTCAGGAGATTGTCTTGACCAGGCCCACACCCCTAAATGCATTGAAGCAACTGCCATGTGATTGGTTAATTAAATAATTGCATTAATGAGAAATTGAACAGGTGTTCCTAATAATCCTTTAGGTGAGTGTAAGTAGCTGTATTAGAATCAGTGATACTGGCCTTAATTCATAAAAAAATGCCATTAAACAAGTATTTAAAATATACTGTCTTTATGTTGTTTCTACATATTATAAAATATATATATATAAAAAAAAATTGCGATTAATCACAGAAAAATATGTGTATTAATCTAGTTAATTTTTCTAATTAAAACCTGGATGCACTCCTTTACTGCCCCCTAGGTGCTGGTGAAGAAGCTGCAGTCTCGTGGACACGAGCTGAGTGTGATTCGCATGGAGGACAGCTGGTTCATCCAAGAGAATTCACCTTCCTACACCTCCATTACAGTGAAGCTTAAAAAGAAACATATAGGCCTGGACCTGTTTGAGACCGCAGTACAAAGGATTCTTGAGGCCCGCAGGAAGGGCCCGATGATGGGAGCACTAGTCCAGATGTCTGAATTTATTGGAATCATGAATGTGGCTCACACCGCAACCTGTGCCATGCTGAACGCCATGCTGGAGAACAAAGCTCTGATGAGACAAATAAAGATGGCGAACTATGACTTAATGCTCACTGACCCTGCCACGCCAGGTGGGATCATCCTGGCACATTACCTCCACCTTCCAATGGTCTATAACGTCCGCTGGATGAGTTTTGGAGAGGGACACTTCTCCATCGCACCTTCTCCAATCTCCTACGTGCCTGTACCCGGCTCAGGTCTAACGGACCGAATGGGCCTGTTAGAAAGATCCCGTAATCTTCTGCATTATGGGTTGAACCTCATTCAAGAGCGCTGGCTGGTGATTCCCATGTATACCAGCTTGTTGCTCAACTACTTCCCTCCGGACGCCGACCTCCTCGCCATGCAACTTTCAGCGGAGATGTGGCTAGTGCGTGTTGACTTTGTGTTCGAGTTCCCACGACCCTCCATGCCAAACCTCGTCTACATTGGTGGCTTCCAGTGTCGTCCAGCCAAGCCTCTTCCTGCCCAGCTGGAGGAGTTCATGCAGAGCTCAGGAGACCATGGGGTGGTCGTGATGTCTCTGGGAACGCTGATCGCAGGATTGCCCCGAGAGGTCATGGAAGCCATTGCCTCAGCTTTCGCCCACATGCCACAGAAGGTGGTCTGGAGGTTTATTGGCGAGAGACCTTCATCATTTGGCAATAACACCCTTCTACTTCAATGGATACCTCAGAACGACTTGCTGGGTCATCCGAAAACCCGTGCTTTCGTGGCTCATGGTGGCACCAATGGTTTATATGAAGCCATCTATCATGGAGTACCAGTTCTGGGACTCCCTTTGCTATTTGACCAGCTAGATAACATTGTACGTCTTCAGGCAAGAGGTGCGGCACGGATGCTGGACGCAGCTACTTGTACATCAGAAGAATTCCTTGAGGCTTTGAGCGAAATCTTAGAGAACCCAACATATCGTCAGAACATGCAGAAGCTCTCTGGTTTACACCGAGACCGACCTCTGCATCCTCTCGACAAAGCAGTGTACTGGATCGAGTTTGCCCTGCGCAATAAAGGTGCGCGCCATCTGCATGCTGAGGCCTACAACATGTCCATGTACTCCTACTACTGCCTAGATGTGGCTGCAGTGGTTCTCCTCATGCTTCTGGTAACTCTGGGAGGTGTCTATACAATATGGATACGAAGATGGAAAAGAGAGACAAAAAAGGCTGTTAGAGATGGCAGCAAGAAAGCTGTAAAGGATAGCAGTAAGAGGCTGAAAGAGAGCATTAATGCTCTGAAAAACAGCAATAATATTTCTATTCCAAAACTAAGAGCAAGCAAAACAAGATTTTAGTACAAATCCAGAGAGCTACATACTTCATTGTTCTTTATATTTTTCTCACTTTCATTGTATCCAGTGTCCGTTCATTCGGTCGTCTTTCTTTCTTTCTTTCTTTCTTTCTTTCTTTCTTTCTTTCTTTCTTTCTTTCTTTCTTTCTTTCTTTCTTTCTTTCTTTCTTTCTTTCTTTTTTATTTCTTTCTTTCTTTCTTTCTTTCTTTCTTTCTTTCTTTCTTTCTTTCTTTCTTTCTTTCTTTCTTTCTTTCTTTCTTTCTTTCTTTCTTTCTTTCTTTCTTTCTTTCTTTCTTTCTTTCTTTCACCATTAACCCCCCCCCATTTCTTTTCCTTGAGCTCTTGCAATTCCCTGCCAAGACTAAACTGTGTGCTGGTGATTAGGTGCAGATCTCTTCCTGGAATCCTTCACATTTGTTGTAATCCCCCTGTTTGCACACAATGCATTTAAGGCCATTCGGAAAAAAGAAAAAAAGAAAAAAAAAGGTGAGTCACCTCACCAGTGACAAACAGCTGCTGGTCAATAGGCTATTCTGTGATCGAAGGATAAAGCCATGCTGTATAAGCTACTCAGCCTGTTCAGGATATGACATAAAGTTCCAAAGTGTACAAAACATGTAATCATTTGTAGCTCCATGAAACAATTTGATTGTAACCATTCACTTTTTCAGCGTGTAAAACATGGCTAATTACATGCATAGTAATGCATAACAAATGGTCAAAATAAACGCTCTTACCCGAGTCCAAAACAGCAGGTTTAATTTTAACAAGCATTTATATTCTGCAGCCAATCACCAGCAGGTGGCGCTATGGATGTATTCAAAGTACTGCTCACAATAATTTCTGCAATCCAAAATTAGATTACATACTATTTTACATCAGTGCAATGCTTTTTATACACCATACATCAAAATTCCATGTTTTCATTAAAGCAAAAATGATTTAAATTGAGATGATCACAAACCTGACCAAAATGGTGTGTGTCACCGCACTTTCTCTTTACCACAGGAGGAGGCCATTCTTTTCTCCAGATATGAGACAGGAGATGGCTGGAAGCGCATGCAGGGACAGAATGATAAAAAGAAGACAGGCAAGGATGAGAGAGCTCTAACTGATTGAGGGGACATTAGCCTGGGCTGTACTCGCTAATGTATGCTTCTAATGACTCGTTATCTCATTATCAATCTTATTCTCGCTCATCTTTTCTTTTCCTCACTCTCTCCCCTTCCTCTATCTCTCTATCTCCTCCCAATCGACCAGCAATGATGGGAATAGCAATTAGGACGCTAGGCTGCCAAATGGCTATTTTAATTAGCCTTTCTTAGCGAGAGAGAGAGGTGGGACGAGAGAGCGAGTGAAAGAGAGAGAGAGAGAGAAAGAAAGAAAGAGACTAATGTTCTTCATAAGTGCTACAGATTAGAAGGTCATTAGGCTTTTGCTTGAATTAATGATTAGGAATTCCTGCAGGTCATAGAAACTTATTACACAAGCCTACTTAACATTAATAGAACCATCCTATTTGTGTTAAACACAAAGAAATTAAAACTAAAAACCAATTACAGAGTGATGACATTGTCTTTCGCCCTCCCCCTGGTCACCCATAACGGAGACCCAGTGTAAAACTCTCTGGACAGTAGAGACTCTATTGTCGCACAAGGATAAATGATCGGTTTCGCTCGCGCTCCCCTGTTTTATTCTTTCCCAGTTTTACTCCCTGGTCATTCTACGGTTTTTCTATCTGCTTTCAATATCTTCTGCTTCTCCACTGTATGTTCCGTCATTGTCAGTAAACCGCAGTGTTTCTCCGTTGTGGTACGTAATTTTCTTCAAGAGCACAATGCAACATTCTTGTGTGTTATTTGTTCATTTGTGGCTTGTTTGGGACACGGGCTGGTCTGACGAAAATCTCTTCAGAGGCACTTTCCATCCCAAAAGAGATAGACTACTTATTTCAGCCCTTTCTTAGATCCATCCCCCTGACGCATAAAAACAAGGCAAAGCACACACACACACACACATATAACACACACATATAAGGCCTACTTTGTGCACATAGTGTTCATACAGAAAAAATACGTGCATAGATCATATAGAAAAGTAATGTAGAGTATAGCCTACATAACAAAATCATGATTAAAAATGTCCTCTGTAGCCATACGAGTGATTTGTGTGAGGAACAAACTGAAATTCACTATTTGCTGATAATGTTCCCCTCCAGTGAGCTGTTAACTGCTGCATTGAATCAGTGAGTCAGTGAGTTGAACTTAAGAACCGAATAAATTTGATTCATTAACAGACCGTTCCGTCTGTGTTTGTGAAAGGAATCTGAATTGATTCAATGAAAAGATCTGGCTCAAAGGAACAATTTTATGAAGAATGGTTGTAAACAGTACCAGATTAGGTACTACATTAAAAAGTCATGTCATGACTGGGGGTATATGTTTATACATAAACTAAACAGTAATTGAAAACTCAAACAATATAGATCTGTCACTTACATGCTTAGTTGAGAAGAGGGGAGAAGTATCCTCAACTGAACAGAGCTGGCCACACATTTTCTGTTAAAAAAATGAAAAAATAACAAAAGGACAGTATGATTGGTACAATTTTAAAGTTAAAATGTATATACATTTTAAGAAGGACATCACGTACCTGTTGAGAGTGTGTTGGCAGTCTGTGTAGTTGGATGTTGATGATTGGCTTTCAAAGAGTGTTTTTGACAGTTCCAGATTCAAAAAACAAAAGGGCGGGAATAAAAAAACCCCAATCTAAATAAAATAAAAAACACACAAAAAAAACATTTCAGCATCTTTCAGGATGATATTGTTCTTACTATATGGTATTTGTAAAGGACCTTTTAAGAACCATCTTTTTTTTTACAGTGAATGATTCATTTATGAATTTCTCTCATGAACTCAAGGTGGATGTAAAGATTTCTAGCGAATATAATGACTTAAGTTTTGATCTGTTTTTCACACAAGGTGTCATATGATTTTAAAAGATTTATAGCACACGAGTCACATGGACTACTTTTATGATGTTTTTATGGTCCTTTTTGCATCCTTTTTTAAAAAACAAACAAACAAATTACTTTATTATGGCATCACATTTCATATGTAGGCTAATGTAAGCAACCTTAACTATAATCATAATGTTACAACCCTCATATTTCAACAATTAAACATCACAACGATTCCTAGCTGTACATTGTGGTTGTATTTGTATAGTGTCCCTCAATTTTCTTTCTTTCTCTCTTTCTCTCTCTGTCTCTTTCCTTCTCTTCTTTATCATGACGTGCCCTGAGGTTATGATTGTTATGATTTATATCGGACTGTTTTGAGATCTCTCTCTTTCTCTGCCCTCTGTCTTCATCTCTCTTTAGCTTTCTCATTTCTCCTCTCTCCTTTCTAATCAGTTCTCCTTGCATCCCCCCAGGTCGATTTGGGGAGTAATAATGAAAGAGATTTAACCCTTTCATGTTCAACCGCTTTGACCCCGAACACCTACCCTCCATAGCTTTACACACACACACACACACACCCCTCTTATAAATAAATACACACATATTTGGGTGCGGATTACAACAAATGCAGACACGGATTGCAATGGAAAACATACAATGTAAAACAGATATTTAATTTTTTCTTCGTTCCAAAAGAGTGAGAAATTAGAACACTGTTGACTTTATGAATCCACATATTTTTCTCCCACACACTGTTCCTTGGATATGGTGTGATTTTCACCCGTTTATATCCTTGCTGCCTGTTTTGTACATCCATCTGCGAATCCGTCTACCTGCCCATCTGTCTGTCAGACTCTCGGCCTGTGCGTTTAAACCCCTGATGACGTCATGAATAAACAGGATATCTTCCCACCTAATTATGCGCTGTTAATTACAAATTTGGACTAATGTGCTTAATTAGACGAACATCAGTTGCTCTCAGATACAGGACATCTTTTTTTTTTTGATTTAGAAAATTATCTCTTTAACAAACAATATGACTTAATTGCAGACATTTGCATAAACAAATGAGCTAATTAATTACAACCAAGCACTTCCTGATGAGTCGAAGGACAATGAGACTCCAAATGTTTTCCTCAGGGATACAGAAGGAGGGAGGGAGGAAGCAAGAGAGAGAGAGAGTTTAAATGAAAGTTTATGAGCTTGTGAGCATGCTAATATGACTCTCTGAGCATGAGGAATTATGTATGTGTGAGAATTTGCTATAAATGTCCAGATAAATAAGTTTAAGTAGCTTACTTATCGGCTGTGGTGGTTCGGCTCTGGCAATATATCTCCGGATGGTATCGGTGTAACACTTAAAATCCCTTATTCCCTCTCTACATTCATCTCTCTCGTTTTCCCCTCCATCTCTTTTTCTGGAGGGTTTGTAGATAGAAGGGCCTCTCCCCTCCTTTTCTGTGTTGGAATTTAATATGCAACTTTTTATTGGAAAACAATCGTGCGTGCCTGCGTGAATCCTGACCGCAATATATCTGTTAGTGCAACTAATCCGATCAGGCCAGAGAGGGCTATTTATCACTGCAAATCCAGGGCATTTCAGCCCACATTTTATTATTTTAATATATTTCTCAGCTATTAAATCACCAAAATGATGAATTAGAACTGTCTGGCACGCTTTCAGCTGTATGACAGAAAATGATGCACTACCCAATTTGAGTGGTCATTTGGACTTTTTAAAGACAAAAAATGATACAGGAAAATGTCCAATATTTTTGTGTTGTTACGTCTCTGCCACCCCGTCCCTCCGCCTCCCCCCTCTCGCTGGCTGTTTTTAATAAAACACTCTAAGTGAGCTTTATTGCTGTGTTAGAGAGGGCAGGATCACAACTATCTTTAATATACAGCCAATTACCAAACGCACACAAACATGCGCGCTCACACACATACTTATGCGCACACAAAGACAGGTACGACGATACACAACTTTGTCTCTTAATCATAGCGGGCAAACATTAACAAATAGTCAATCTGTATACACCCACATT